CACACACACACACACACACACACACACACACACACACACCCCTAGGCACACACAACTTAGAGCTAGGAGAAGCAAAGAGCAGAGAAAGTCTCCAATGAGTCTATCACGAATCGCACCTTACCTGTATGGCTTTGGATTCCCAATGATGTGACAGTGTTCACTAGAACTTGGAGACTCTTGTGAAAGAGTCGCTCTCTGAAAGAGGAAAACGGTAGGGACTGTCACAGTTCTTGTCTACTAAAAATAATTTGAATTTTATGTGAGTTCTGTGTCCCCCAGATAACAGCAAAACCCCCCTGGGAAGACTCCATCATGACTGTCCTTGCTTCCTTGCCTCCTCAAAAACCCAGGTTCTTCCTCCTTCCTAAGATACTATTATTCTCTCTCTTCCTCCCTCCCCCTTCCCTCCCTCTCTCCCCCTACTCACCCTTCTCCCTCCCTCCACATGAATGCCTGGTTCCTAAGGAAGCCAGAGAAGGGTATCAGATCCCCTGGAACTGGAGCTACAGATGGTTAGGAGCTTCCATGTGGGTGCTGGGAATCAAACCCAGTCCGTCTGCAAGAGCATCCAGTGCTCTAAACTGCTGAGCCAAAGCTCCACACCCCAAGCCATTATTCACTAATAGGCATTTCTCCTTACAGCAGACACCCGAATAAAATCTCCCCTTATTTCTCTGGTGCATTCTTATCTTTCACAACAATCAGTAAATTCCAAGGCTAAATCCCCAAAATGGAGAGAGAGAACAGGAAAGCATGTTTGCCACCCCCCACCACCATCCCTCCGAAAACCAAACACACTGAGTCTAGCATGTGAGGGCACTTACTATAATGTAGTTGTTCCATGAACTCTTCAAGTGCAGAAATATCGATGAGGTTCCAGAAATAACATACAGATGAAGTTCTGACTCCTCCTTCTCCAGGCTGCAGCTGCTGTGTATAGGAGAAGCCAGGAGAGAATTTCCTGAGCGGATCTCATTCCTGTTCCCATCAACCCTGACAGGAATTTCACTTGGGAAGTCTGAAGGACAGGGCGTTGAGTCCTTGAATGGCATGCCGTTCTCCTGGTGGGACCTGTGGGTAGAAATGAGTATTAAATATGATGCCTATAATTCAACAGTGGGGAGTCAAGAGAATCCAGTCGCCGGTTTCAGCAATCCACAACTCTGAAAGCCGCTAACTTCATGTAAACGCAGTGCTAATCATGAGAGGGGATTGACCAGACCACTTGTGGTTTGAATCTGAAGTGCCATTACTCCCCAGCTATGGCACCATTTTGAAGGCTAGAGAGCCTTTTTGCCATGGGCCTACATGGTAAAAGTAGGTCACAGAGGTAGGCCTTTGAAAGCCACACCTGGCCTTGATTCTGGCCTGCTTTTCTGTTCCCTGGTCTACCACAACGTGAATAGCCACCAAAACACACAGCAATGGAAAAGGTAACTAATACACTTGCTATTGCTACTGACTAATGGAAATAGGGCGTGGCTATCTTTTAGTGTGCTCTTTTGCTTTCAGAAATGAAACCCTACCAATGTTATCCTGTCTTAGTTGGGGTTTCTATTGCTGTGAAGAGACACTATGGCTGCAGAAACTCTTAAGAAGGAAAATATTTAATTGGGGTGGCTTGCTTACAGTTCAGGGATCTAGTTCATTATCATCACGGTGGGAAGAAAGGCAGCATGCAGGCAGACATGGTGCTGGAGAAGGAGCTGAGAGTTCTTACATCTTGATTCACAGGCAACAGGAAGTGGTCTGAGACACTGGACAGTATCTTGAGCATGGGAGACCTCAAAGCCCGCCTCCACCATGACATACTTCCTCCAACAAGATCATACCCACTCTAACAAGGCCACAACTCCTAAAAGTGCCACTGTCTTTAGGGGTCATTATCTTTCAAACCACCACACATACAAAAAAGCACTTCATTGGATTTCAAGTTTTGTCATTATTTTGGTTTTTGAGACACCGTCTCACTATGTAGCACTGGTTAGCCTGGAGCTTACTATGTAGACCAGGCTGGCCTTGAACTCACTAGGATCCACCTCTGCACCACCATGCCCTGCAATGGCACTTTTTATGATGGACTCCTTGTGCCTTCTTGGAGTCCCAATACTTGCACTGAAAGGACTTCCTAATTTTAGTTTAACCTGATTATTCTTGCCTTGTAACCATTCATTAGTGGATTCTGTAAAGGGGAAAAAAATGCAAGTGAAAATATAAACAGAGGGTTTTCTTTTTCAAAGCTTCCTTTAACTCATAGTCTTCTGATTTTAGTATTGTCGAATAGTATCAGCCCCATTCCTCAGAACCAGTGCCCCACCTTTACCTTCTTCACTCTTGACCCCACCCCACTTTCTGTACTCTGTCACAGAGCAAATAAGCTAGAAAATCTGAGATACAGAGTCACTGGATGGAAAGTCATCCTGAGAGACCCAAAGGGGTCCTGGCTCTCCCACACATGGTAGGAAGGTATGGATGGGGGTTGCCCAGCATGAAAAGATGGGCATCCAGCTCAAGGTGGTGGACAGGGACATGAAGCAATGAATGAATTTATCAGAGATCAGAGGTGACTATGACAGTGGACCCACTGGGAATTCCCAGGCATCTTGGGGACATTTTGAGCTTCCACTGCAGATGGGATGGGTGTAGGGGGCCACAGGGGTGGATTTGAGGTAATCCTATCTAGTCAGAAGGGGATAATGACCCCAGCTGACACTATATGCACCAAATGCAAGGCTTGTTTTGGGTCCTTCTGAAGAATGCAGTTCATGAGAGCCCTTACAAATACTTGTGGAGTAAAGACAGTTTGATGGGCCATTCATTTATTTACTTTGCTGTGTAGGACATGATCTCTGCTAAGCACTGGAGAGCGCTGTGTGTGACTGTCCTATGTGAGGTGTTGGCTCTCCCACACAGTATTACATGATCTCTGCTAAGCACTGGAGGGCGCTGTGTGGGACTATGCCATGTGAAGTGCTGGCTCACCCAAACATGGTCACATGATCTCTGCCAAGCACTGGAAGGGGCTGTGTGGAACTATTTGGTTGCCCTGAAACCAAATTCAACGTCTCTCAGTGTTGAGAGGATAGCCTTCTGCTTTCACCCTCCACAGGCGCTGTGAAGACCAACACAGTCTTTGTTTTCTGTCTGTTCATCAGAATAATCTTACTTCATAGAATGAGGTGGTGATTGCTTCTAAATCACAACTAAACGTCAATTGGGTCTTTAAATGGGGGGCGGTGCTGGGGAGATGGCTCAGTGATTGTTAAGAGCTACTTGTTGCTCTTGAAGAAGAGCAGAGATCTGTTCCTAGCACTCACACCGGATGGTTTACAACCACCTGTAATTCCAGCTCAACGATCCACTGCCCTTTCTGGTGCCCACAGGCACCTGCACATACATGGGTATACACACACCAACATACACACAAATAAAAATACAAATTTTAATGTGGTAGTTTTAGAATTGGGCACTTTAGTTGTCCCCGAACCCCTTACTTTAAAAGAGGAACAATAATGACACCAATCGCAAGGGTCTCTGTATGGAAAACATATGAAAATATCCATAGTTTGAAACACCAAAACCTTAAGTGCCAGCTATTAACATCACCCTTTATGTCTTCAGTTAGTAGTAGTTTACCTTCTTATAGTAAGGTGTGCCTTTCTTTCTCACAGGATTAGAACCTCCACAAAAATGGGAAGGCACTTTTAAAAAATTAGTTCTTAGGGTTTTTTTAGTATTTTATTTTACTGTACATGTACATAGGTGTTTTGCCTGCGTGTTTATCTGTGTACCACATGTATGCCTAGTGCAGTCCAGAAGAGGGCATCAGATCCTTTGGAACTGGGGTTCCAGACAGTTCGGAGCTACCATGTGGTTGCTGGGAATTGAACCTATGTCCTCTGCAAGAACAGCCAGTGCTGTCAACTGCTAAACCACCCGTCCAGCCCATGTCTTAGGTTAATTTTAAACAAACAGCACCCATTCCTGTATAGTACTGTCCACCGTTCTAAGATCCAGCCACCCACTCCCTCTCCTCACCTTAAAAGTCTGTGGCTACAATTGTTTAAAATGTTACTTGTTTAAAATTTAGGCAGCAGCCATTTTAACTCATAACAACATCTATATGGCAGTTATGAAAAAAAGTTCCTCTTAGGTAATGCTGCAGCACTGTAAATACTCAAGGCTGTGTACAAGGCATTGAGTTTCAAAGTGAGAGTTAAGCAGCTGTTGGGAACTCCCACTGAGGTGAGCAAACACTGCTGAGTACCTGGCATTCACATAGTGACCAGATTCCAACGATCACTGAGTCTTTGTCTCCTGAATTTATGTACTGGCACAATACTACAGAAATTCAGAATATATGAAATCAGGGGAGCCCCCATCCTTCTCCAAGATGCTGGCCATTGCTGAGAATACTCAGAATAAAGAAAAGGACCTTATGGTTGTCAAGAGGAAAAAGGGTATGAAAGGGTTAATGTTTTTTACTGTCACTATTCCTATTTTAAAAGATTGACTCTATTTTAACTTACCCATGTAGATGTGCACATGTGTGTGGGTACTCACAGGGGCCCTAAGGTGGTACTAGAACCACAGGAGCTGGAGTTATAGGCAGTTGTGAGCCACCCAACAACCAATGCTGGGAAGCAAACTCCAGTTTTCTGCAAGAGCAGCAAGTCTTCCTACCCACTGAGCCATTTCTCCAGCCCCTCTATCGTCATTTATTTCTATGAGTTCCACCCTATTTCCTTATTTCTTGCTTTGTAATACTTGTTCAGTTAAAGGAGAATGCTTGCAATGGAGTCTTGGGAAAGAGGCAAGTACAGACATAGTAGAAAGAAGACAGAACATCTTTGCACTCGGGGTTCATGCCCTGGATGTTCAAGCTCTTCTTGAAGTTGGAGCTGCAATGGCTTCTATACATAGAAGGTGCCCGGTTTATGTGAGACACACAGTCACTTAAGCCTGAAGTACATATCCAAAACCCTCTGTGTAAGAAACCTACAGAAACCTACAGTCTATATTGCTGCTGCTACATCACGTGAGATCATGTGTCACACATCATACTTTCCACATTTAGAAAGTCTGTCTTTAAATGTGTGCATCACATGATGTAGTCCACATGCCTTCAGCTTACAGATGCCGCACAGACATGTTCAAGTGACATCTCTAAAAATGGCCACCAGGGAGGTGGTGCTGAGCTGCTGTCCTAAACAATTCAAGATTCCATAAACAAACCACAGAAGGGCTTGGTCTTCATCCCCCTGACTCCCAGGGTTACAGAACTCTTAACTAGGCCAGAAGATACTTTTCCAAAAAAACAACAAAAGAGACAGACAGACAAGATGGTTCAGAAGATAAGGATGCTTGCTGCCCCAGCATAGAAACCTGAGTTAAATCCCCACAACCTCTGGAGCTGGGGACAGAGACAGGAGGATCCCCAGAACCTCAGGAGCTGGGGGACAGAGAAAGGTGAATCCCTAAGGCCTACTGGCCATCAGCTTAGCTCCAGGTGAAGTGAGAGTCCCTGTTTCAAAGGATGGCATCTGACAGCCTCCTCTGGCCTCCACACATGCAAGGGCACCCACACACACACAAAAGAAGCCTTTGCCCTGACCTCTGCTGAGAGCCCTCATCTAGTGGCTAATGGAAGCAGAGGCAGACACCCACAGCGAAACACTGAACTGAACTCTGGAACCCAGTTGCAGAGAGGTAGGAGTTAAGAACAAAGAGGTCAGGACCAGGCTGGTGAAACCCACAGAAACGGGAGTGCATGGACCCCAGACTGATGTCTGGGAGGCCAGCACGGGACTGATCCAGACCCCTCAATGGTGGGTATCAATGAGAAGGCCCCAGCACTCTATGGGGCCCCTGGTAGTGGATCTGTATTTATCCCTGAAGGGACTTTGGGAGCCCATCCCACAAGGAGGGATGCTCTATCAGCCTGGACACATGGGGTAGGGCCTAGGCCCTGCCCAGGATGATAAGACTGACTTTGGGGAACCCCTATGGAGGGCCTTACCCTCCCTGGGGAGCAGAAGGGGATAAGTGGGGGGCTGAGGGGAGGGGAGGGA